ACTATGCATTCCCTTTTCACGGAAACATAATTTCTGCAATAGTCCCATGATTTAAAACTAAACACGCTGTTGCAAACTTTTATTAATTAATAAAACCAACAGCAGAAAGTACTACATAAGCATATTATAATTTGGTTCATCTTTTTGAAGGTTTGTACTTTCATTGGGTTTAATTATCCAAAATTTAAGGATTCAGGTGTAGGCTTTTATGATAAACTAGTGCGTAGCTCGTGCGATGCACGAGTAAATAATATTAATAATAATTATAAATTAAAGATGATGAAGACAAACAATATTAATTAATAATTATAAATTAAAGATAAGGGTAAACAATATTGTAGAGTTAATATGTGATATAATTTCTCAGTTGTAAATAATACTCTCTCTCCTATTTTTACTATTTGTCGTTTTGAGAAGCAACACACTCATTAAGAAATTTTTTTCTTGTCAATCTTAATCCTATTTAATGGATGTTATGGGAAACGATGGAGATGGGATATGAAGAGACACTGTGTGTATTAGATGGAGAGTTAAAAATGGAAAAATATGAACAAAACACCAAAAAACGACATTTGTTTAATCAATGATCAATTAAACTATAGCGACAAATAATAAAAATAAGAGGGTGTATAAAATTATCTTGTATATCTTGTATGGAGAATAATAGTTATACACATATGTTTCTTTTTATGTGAATATCTGTCAATTCTTAATCAATTCTTATTGCTTATTTTAATTGTTAATATTTGTAAATAATACTAGAAGATATAGATGCCATATGATTCTCAATAACCAAACATAATAAATTTGTTATTTGTTAGGATTCTTTTAGTACATTAGAAAAAAAGAATAAAATCGTACTTTATAGGAAAAAAATAATTCTATAATTAATCAGGCACAAATTATTTAAAGATCTAACAATACACATGTCATCTAAATTAATCAATTTGGTCACCAAAAAATAATAATTCGAATAGATTAAAATTTCAGATTTTTCGGAATAAAATTAGAGACGGGACTTTGAAATTGTTGCAATCGGAATTATTTGGAATAAAAAATTCAACCAGATTTTTTGAAATGAAATAAGAGACGGGATTTTGAAGTTGTATGCAATCGGGTTAAACAAAATTCACAATTTTAGGCTGCATTTAATGCTGGTTGTATAATAATTTTTTCTCTCAAAAATAATATGCATTAAATCTTGGTTGACTTTTCTTGTTACTATTTTTGGTAAATAGATTGGCTCTTTATATATATACTAGTGCGTAACCCGTGCAATGCACGGGCTGTATAAATTTGGAGAATAATATAATTTGACATGCATTAGGATCGAAATCATTATAATACATATGAACATTATTGAATCATAAAATGTTCGTGACGAAACAATCATATATTATTAAAAACCGCCTTGTACACAACATTATGAGTTTGATTATTTGATAACTCTTCATTATCACAAACTAATATCTTCAACCACCTTCTATTAGTTACACGTGAAACAACAACATATAATTGGTCGTGACTAAAAACAGATTTCTTCAGGAAAATATCAACGTTGCTATTCAATTCATAATTGAATAGTGGTGGTCGACCTATAGTTATCAAGGTTGCTATTCAATTCATAATTACTAATACGATTGATACCGCCTTCCTCTAGTTTTTTGTGTACCTTCGGAATATGACCATTGCGTACCAAACCGATGATATGTGCTCCCTACAAATATAATAAATTAATAGTTAAACAAAATGATAATGTATGTAGTTGAAATATTAATAAATAAAAATAAAATAGAAAATACCTCCCTATTTTGAAAAGGATCTGCAAGATCTTTTTTATGAAGATTAGGAGACTGGCGCTCAAACATATGAACCACACGAAGTTTTAACGGACATTTATTGTTTCTTTGAATGTCAGTGACGACACCGAAGGGGATTTCCATAGTTTGCTTGGTGGTGTTTCGATATTTAGAAAATATTTTTTATAGATGCGTTGAAGGTAATTTTCTCGTTTGAGGATGTTGAATAGTTATAGGGGTGTATATTCAAAATTGTGATGGCTGATAATAGTGTGAAACCGATTCTTAAGGGAAAAACTAAAAAAGAAAAAGAAAAAAAAAGAGTTTTACAAAAGTGAAATAAATCATGATTTTTATTATTTAAATTATATAGATGATGCAACAGAATCGTTGAAATTTTACCATCTAGTTAACATCCTACAGCCGCACTTTTAGGTGGTCCAATGTAACAAAGTTATAATGAGGAGGGAATTTGACCAGATAATATCCCTTCAATTAAGGAATTTGATTCTTTAAACGATATTAAAAAAAAAAAACTATTTCCGCAATTTCAAAATTTTCAACTATCTGCTTAACCTCCTACAGCCGCTCTTTTAGGTGATCCAATGTAACAAACTTATAATGAGGAGAGAATTTGACCAGATAATGGTTCAACTATGCTGTGAACGTGATATCTTTAAAAAAAAA